CCATCGTTTTGAGCACTAACAGTGCAATAAACTATTCAGGAAGAAACTTTTGAGTCAAGAAAGGTTTCACTGCTTCAGTATTTCTATGCTGGTGGAAACAGGATATGAATGTTTATTATGTAGGTTTGCAATATATTCTAATCTGCAGCACAAAGAGTAATGGGAAGGTCTGTGTTTTTTGAATGGCACTACTGCTGTCTGTTTAATTTAGTAAAATGTTTAAATTTAGATTAACAAATTAACAATAAAAAAAATACAGATTTGTTAATGAAAGTATTTAATATTCGTGGTTTTTCCTTCTTCTAATTTTTAGATTCTTCCTCGGTTTAATGGAAAAGGTGAAGTAGTTAAAGCACAGATAATGAATGTGAGTTGGTCAGCTGATCACCGCATCATTGATGGAGCGACAATGGCCCGGTTTTCTAACTTATGGAAATCTTACTTGGAGAATCCTGCTTCAATGCTGCTAGACCTTAAATGAAGGAAACCATGGCTAGAATATGCCTTTAAAGTTTGCGGATTAGACTGAATAATTATAAAAGCTGGCTCTGCTAGCACATACCCTCTGCTACTCATATTATATAATCATTTTATATGGTTAAAAGTTCTCAACAGCTGATATCAGTCTATCAATTAGTTGTTACTTCTTTTAATTCATAGTGCTGTAATTTCTTCTACAGCAGACTGTCAAACTTACATGGCGCGACTTTTGAATATGGTGATGGAGTGTCTTTATTTTGTCTTTTATAATACATATGGTTGTGAGGCTGGTGTGACTGAATGACACTGATCTACATCTGCAGTGTTTATAATCTGATTAACCTGTTTTGAAGGGAAATAATTACAGTTGTTCCTTGTTGGACATGTACATTTATTTTAACAAGCAATATCTAAATTCCCAAAAGAACTTATGCCCAAATCATATACAAATAAAATGCCTTTTACGCTTCTACTGTAAGATGTCCAGAGAGCTTTTTGTTGTTTAACTGAGTAAATCTCTCAAGTCTTTTGCTAGTCCACTTTTTCCTGGCAATTACTTGCACAGGTACTCTTTATCAAATTATAAATAAATAGAATATTTATTCAAATGCCTACTGATAACATTTGTTGATAACTATCAGGGCCTTAAAACTGTCTAGAATATCCTATATTTTTATCGGCTGGAAGTAGTTGCAGTCCTTAAATGCTTTCCAGTTATTTTTGTTTCTTATAGAAAGCATCTGTCTGTTAAAAAAGGGGAAAAAAAAAAGAAAAAAACAAAGGAAGAAAGAGGAAAAAAAAAGAGGATCTCACTTGTTGTTCTGTCATTAGGTAAGCCTGGCAGTAAGCAGAACGTGTTCTAAAAGCTTACATTGTATTATTGATGTTCAGATACTAGAATTTGACAGATTAATCAGATACAACAAATAATTTATGTTAAAAAATACTATGTGAGATAAGGAGGCACATGATGAATGGTTTCAAGTTAATGCCTTCAGAACAGATGATGGTTATGTGGCTTCAAGGTAAACTAAACAGATGATGAGGATTGCACTGGTTATTTAACAGGAGATATGAAGAAAACTAAAACTGTTGGATATAAATACCTCCTAGAAACATAAGGTGTAAACAGACACAAGAAAAGACAGTTGCATGGCCTTAAAAATTAATTTGTGGGACACAAAATGGACGTTTTCTCCTTTCTTTAGATATATCAAAAACTGCTTTTACAGGAGAATTCTCCAAAATTGTAGACCAAAGTTGTCTATTGCATTTAGCTGTGAAGGTGCAAGACACAAGCGCTGCTAGCCTTGATGCCGAGACTGAGAAATGTGATCATGTATGCTCCCATGCCCCCTCCCCTACACCCCCTACTGGTGATGTAGGGGAGGGGACATGGGAGCATACATGTAAGGTGCTATTTTTATTTCTATTCTGGTATAAGGATCTTTTATAGATAAGTCACTTCTTGCAAAGTTTGACTAATATATCGTGCTTATGACCTATTTCATTTTTATCAGATTTATTTATTCCTAATAAAAAAAGCCACAAAGAATTGTAGTAATATTGTTTTTATTTGTGAATTTTATGCAGGCAATCCTGTACCGGTGACTCAAACCTCTATTTCTTCTTATCTTAAAGAACCTACTGCACTCAAGACTACCAAAAGAACGCAGCCTAATGGCTACTTTCCCACAAGTACATTGTTGTAGTAAGGGCTTAGTCTGAATAGTGTATTTTTTAATCTGATTACCATGGAGAAAATAATGAGGAAATGTAAGTATATGACAGAAAGCAATAAAGTGATTTTGAAATATTTAAGACAGTATGATTTTGCTCAGACAAGAAATTTCTTTCTGTCTCAGAACTCCCAATAAAAGAGAAGGTGTTTTTTTTTTCCCTAGCTCTAATTATCTGTCTCGTTTAAGGAGGAGGAAATTTAAGTATTTATGTTCTTTTTTAGATCAAGAAAAAAGTATTGATTAAAAAACATTGTGGAGATTGAATCTATTCCAAAACTGAAAGAAGAAATACCTCTACCAAAGAACCTGTTGGATTGTTTTTGCTTTCGCATAACTCTTAAGTAAGAAAAAGCTTAGAGGATTAAAAGCTAAAGCAATTAGTGTCATTTTAAATAGGTATTGATGTTAATGTATTCAGCTGGTCTTGGACTGGAGAGGGTTTTTTTGGTTATGAAGTTCTATGTGGTAATGCTAGAATCTAAAGCTAATAATAAGGACCATTTATTTCTACTGAAAGAAAATGAATGATATTTTCTAAATGTCATCTTCACATTTTATACTCCATTGCAAGATTTGGTTAGAATTATCCAGTTTTATGGCTTCTGCCTGAAATAGTGAGCTGTGATTGTTGCTGTCTCATTCTTTCAATTTGGTTGAAGAAAAACATTCTGACAGTTATTCTCCTTTTATCTTCTCAAAGGGCTCTTTGAAGAAATAGAATGTTAAAAATATTTCATGATTGGAAGCATGAAAAGGGGTGAGTAATAGCCCCTCTGCACATCTTGATAAAGATTACTTTTCTGTCTGGACTTCAATAATTTGCACTAAAATTCTTCAACAAGAGAATTCTTCAGCATGAGCAAAAGTAATGAATAGAAAACTTAGTGACATAATACTTTTTCTAGTCTAATTAGTCAATGTTGCTGTTTAATAGCACTTCAAAGCTCAGTTGTCTTGCAGAGTAAAGCAAGTAATTGTCATTTTGAATTCAAAACTAGCTTATTTTTTCATTGTGGAGCATAACAAGTACTCCTTTGTTCTTTTTGTTCGCCATTTGTAACTGTTGTTAATGGGAGTACAGGAGTTTATGCGAGTCTAGTCACGTTCAGAAACTGGAGAGACATTAAGGGTGGTAAATGCTTGGGGGTTTTGCAGAAGTGCCTCGTGATACCTTCTATTCTCAGCATAGGTTAAAATTAGAACTAGACTGAAATTGCATTAGAGACTGAGTGGAGTATTAAATGGTTTTGGTAGTACAGGCAAGATTCGTAATTTATCTCTGCCCTTGCCCAGAAAGCAATGAGTCACAGAAAATCCTTGAAAACACCAAATAATTGAGGTAAGTTGTTGTTAAACTCTTTTGAGATGCTTGGAGGTGAAGTTGTTGGGAGATCTAATTACTTGGGAGTAAATTTGCAGTTGTTTTACAGTCATGCTTGGGAAGTCACTTCTGAATTGTTGTCTGTGGTGGCATGATTAATATGGTTTTTATTTTCCTGACAAATAATAAGGTCTAAGAAAAAGAAGCTTTTGATGGTAGTCCTGTTATTATATAATTAAATCTACTTGAAAACAAAGTAATTTTCTTAGTCCCTGTTTCATGTTTCATGGTTCTAAAACAATATTTATTGAATAATATGCTTTCCACAGCGAAAGAGAGTTGCCCACTGTGAGCTTTCCTAAAAATAAGTATTGTTTCAACTGTAAGGTCTGATACTGGTTTTAGTAGTAAAAGTATTAATGAATCTCTATTTTCTGCACAAGTTTCCACTTTTGCTGTTATCTACCTGCTTGTTTGAAAGACAGTTATCCTCACTTTTTCAGTTTGAAGATATGTTAGTCTTACTTGTCCCTATGCAAGTATTAGTAAAAAGTTTGAAAGGGAGCATTCAGATCATCAATGGTCAAAGTATGCTGCTGTTGGCATGAAGTTAGCCCTCCAAACTTATCTGAATATCAATATCTTGGCTCCAGTTTATTTAAAAAAAAAAAACCTTCCCCAAATGACTACAGTAACAGCAATAAAAATGCATTTATAGAGGGATGCACTGATTAAGATGACTGAGTGTCCTACTTTGCTGGTCTTCAGGAAAATAATGTATTAATCATCTCATTAAGGAATAGATGAGTTCAAAACTTTAGGCTGAATTTTTTTTTAAGTGTGGATCCTGACAGCAGGGCTACAAGAAGATTCACAGAGAGAGCTGAAGAATTTAAAAAGTCTTTTATTAAAGGTTATACATTACTAACTCTATATTATAATGAGTTAATTTATGAAGAAAATGAATGCAAATAAAGTATCCTCTTTTATTTCCAGCAACAGTTCCATTTCTCTAAAGTGCAAAACTCTTTTAGTTACACGTATTTATACCAGGTAGCTGCCAGCATGCAGCTACCAGGATTTAACTGCCTTAAATTGCAGGTAACAGCTTACCAGGGAACGAATGCTCGTATCTGCATTTAATAATTATGGTCAGTATTCAGCCTACCATTGGAAGGAACTGAGAGCAGCAGTTGTTCACTGAGTGAGAATACAGAGAATTTCTTACTATATGAAAATTTAACTAGGTGCAATTATCTATTTTTATAAAGAGAAAGCAGTTGGTAAATTATGTCGGTTCTATACGTCGACTACTACTACTAATATAGTTGAGAGGGTATTGCAGTATTTTAGTTTTCACATCACTGTCCCCATCTGGTAGCTGACACATGCACTGATGCATTGAGCCTGAAATTCACAGTCAGATTCCTGTGACTGAATCTGAACATGTGAGGATCATGACTGAAACTGCAGTTTGCGTTGGAACGTTCACTGCTGTCAAGACACTTTGGGAAGTGAGAATACACAAGATAAATGAAGAATTACAGAAAGAAAAGGAATTCAGACAGAGGTCTGCAGGAAGGTAGGTAAATTTTAGATCTTTAAGTATGTGAAAAACTAGACCGTATGTTGCATTTCAGAAGACTATAATCGGTCTTTTCAAACTCATCCAGAGTCTAATTCTTTAGTCGTTACTCCAGCAGAATTCCCACCAGTTAGAATTTAGCAATATGGTCAGATCAAACCAAGAATTGTGTTCTGTTATAAAAATATTAGCATATATACTAAATCCCCTAAATTCAGATATTAAAATCCTCTCCTGTGTGGATAGTCTAACCAGTAGAGATTTGGTTTGTTATGCTTTCTTCTCAGTGGAGGCATTAACAAGGTCACTTGGTTGTCCATTTGGCCAGTAATTTCATGAAATGTGAAGAAATTTAGCACTCTATTTTTGGAACTCTTCTTAATTTGTCAGATATGTTTGAAAGGAAATAACAAATTTAAAAGTTACTAATGGAAAATACAAGAAGAAAGAAAGAGAATTAGCCTAATTTTCATAATTCTTGTTTAAGTCCCCTTTGAAAATCAAGCTTAGAGAATCCCTAGTTGATTGACCTTGTTTGATTGCACTTATATTCGGTGGAACTGAAGGCTTTCTTTTTAGGAGACTGCTTAAAAATTAATGGCTTTGGAACTTAATTCCATGTGACTTTATACTCTGTTGCCCTGCTGCAACATGATGAAAGTGAATGAAGTTGCACCTTCCTTCTGACTGTAAATTTGAAGAACGGTAAAATAGAATTCCTATAAATTACCTCAGCCAAACATTACTTTATGTTCTTGTCTTTCCTCAAGTTGATAGTATATTTAGCATCAGATACAACAAATGTTTGACATCCAAAAAAGCTACTGTCTCTTTATTCCAGAAAATAGAATGGATAGTAATTATTACCTGTATTCATTGTTGCACCACTGACAGATCTTCTTTCCCTTATAGGCTACTACTTGTATGGGAGGAGAGAGCTGCTTTAGCAAAGCTCAAAGAAAAAGTTATTCATGAAGATGGAAGAGCAATTTTAAGGATAGAGGAAGAAGAATGGAAGGTAGCGTTGATAGGAATGAATGTTGCTTGGGTTAGAATGACAGATGCATTAGAAAACTACTATTTACAGCTTTACAATCGCAGTTGTACTATTTTTAATCTATGAAGTGCTCACTGTGTGCTTTGCTAACAATTAATTGAGACACACTGCTGTGAGAGTGTAAAAGCAAGCTGTTTTTTTTTCAGTCCTGCATATTAAGCATTACTCTGAAAAAATAGAGCCCAAAAGGCTTTTCTGCATTAGAAATTATTTACACTGCAAACTGTGAGTGTAATTGAGTAAGTCCTCATTTAACGTTTCACTCACCAGAACTACTGAAATGTATCAAGGCAAAAACCCTCTGTGTTTAGGTGCATGAAAATATTTCTTGCTGTTGTTTACTTTCTCTTTCTGAGAGTGAAAATGAGCCAGTAGATTCTTAGAATACTGTTATCCTCATTTCTAATGCATGGGGCTTGGAAACAGCTAACTGTAGAATCAATGACAGAGTGGAAGCTAAGTCTGTTCTGAGCCACACAGAAATGCAGATGCCAGTTCCTAGGAAGTGATGACAATTAGATCACGTTGAGGCCGGTGAGAGAGCGACAACCACATCCAGCAATACTCTAGTGGTCCACAGGCCAGTGTTCCTTGTTCAGCACTCATAGCATACAGACATTGTATTTTTTCTATCCCTCAGCTCTTCTGCTCTCAGCTGCTCACTGTTTTTCTTAACAGAATAGGCAATACAATTTTGATCACCACTTAAATGCAAAAAGCTATTTAGAACAGTTTCATCTTCAGTTATATTCACTTTTTTTTTTTTTTTAAAAAAAGAAACAAACAAAAGCAAGCCTAAGGCTTTTCAAGCAATGACAGTAATGCAGATGTCTAAATCCTGGGAGCAAAATGTGGGCAGGTTAAATCTGTCATCAGAATGACCTACGTTGATGGTATTCATTTTGGGATGTTACACTATAGCTTGAGAAGAAGAAAATATTTTTTTTCTTTTTTTTTTCCCCCTTTAATTTTATTTTATTCACAAAACTCTTACTGTTTCAAATAAAACTTCTGCCTAAGCCTGTATTCTTGTATACTAATCTGAGTTTCTTCCGGTTCATATTTCTTGTCTTAGACACTACCGTCGTGCTTATTGAAACTAGTCCATCTCCAGGAATGGCAGCTTCATAGAACTAGTTTGCAGAAAATTCCTCAGTTCATTGGAAGATTTCACAACCTTGTTGTTCTGGATCTATCCCGGAACTCAATTGAAAGTGTACCTAAAGAAATTGGTGAGCTGTGCTTTCTTTCATTTTAAGCTGCTTTTCTAAGAAAATTAATCTTATAAAAACATGCCCTTTTTCTTCACTTTGCCTGTCTAATAATACTGTTGGGTAGTTAGAAAACAGACAATGGAAACTGACAGTGAAGTGGAGATCTTAAAACCATGGATTTCCTACAAATTAAAAAAAATGCCTGGTTAGAAGAAGACATATCTTTATGAAAGCTCCCCATGAGAAAAAAGCTTGTAAGCACAGCAGACACTCGACATCAGAATGCAGCTAGAAAAGTGATGTTGAAGAATAGGCTTCATGTTCTGAGCCCACAGCATGAGTAGCCTATGTTCATAAGGGGTTTTTTTGTAGCACTCAACTAGAGTGCAGCTCTGTACTAAAGGGTTTTGAAGTCCTACTACTTGAGTTTCAGCTAATCTGTTTTAGTGAGAACATAGAGCACTTGTGTAACAGTGTATGTATAACACAAAACAAGTAATATTGTATTTCAAATAGAATAAGTGTAAACTTTTATCATTTGTTTGTGCGCTCCACAGGCCAGCTGACTAGTCTCCAAGAACTGCTTCTCAGTTACAATAGAATAAAGTCTGTTCCTAAGGAAATAAGTAACTGCGTCAGTCTGGAAAGATTGGAACTGGCGGTGAACAGGAGTATCTGTGATCTTCCTCCTCAGGTTTTGACAGACTGTTTTGTTTTGTTTACTTTTGGTTTAACGCATATTTTGAATTTATCCAGAAACAATTGTCATTAAATGTTGCACTCCATGTTTTCAGATTTGCTTTGATATTCTGATTTCACAACTACGCTACAGGAACACGTATGTGAACAATGTTTATATGACTAGTCAAACTGAAGCCACATGAGAAGGACATGCATATACCTGAGTAGTTGAAGGAGCCAATCTTTATTTTGTCCAGATAAATGACTTTGTAGGACAGTGATGCACTTGATGTTAATTTGTTTAGGCTGAAGGTCTTCACTGATTTACCCTGCTGATGATCTGATGCCTTAGCACAGAGAAATTCCCTTTTATGATTGAGAACACAAAGTCATACCATATGCCAGGACACAACTGTAAGCATCTTTATCAGGGCTGCTAGCTATGAAAAGGGTTTGTGTGATTTACACAACTGCCTATGCACAAAGAGCTAAACAAATGTTGTTCTGAGACGTTGAAAGCAATTGAGAGAGAATAAAAACAACAGCTCACCTACTCTTGAGCTTCAGTTTGGACTGACCTAAATGTGAGAGACCTGCATCTCTAAGAATCAGTCTTTTACATAGAGTTGACAAGTATGTAACCGTTTACTTGTTTAAATTTATTTTAAAAAACAGTAGTGGCAATAGTTGAGAGCAATCAGTGCCTTGCAATATTGAGGGAGTCCAATTGGTAATACCTAAGGAGAAATCCTCAAATGAAAATATACGCTATTAATCAGAATCTGGAATTTACAAAATCTACGTGGAGATAGGTCACATGGTATAATGCAGAGTGACAGCTTTTAAATTAACAGCTCATAGCAAATACATAGTTCTGTCTTGTTGAGACTACGGTGATGTGAACACTGAAGCTTTGGTTATATGTACTTGAGTAGCATTCAGTGTTTAGACAGTTGGACCAGATTTGCAATAAAACATCTTTGCATCACTTGAACATTGTAAAAGCACCTTAAGACATGATTCACCAAAGGACTTAGGTGTTGCAATACTGAATGATGCTATGTTTAATTTTTAGAATGTCTTGCCCTAGTAGTAGACTTCGCAACATGGAAGGTGCCTAGGTTCACTCTAAAACACAGTCCATGCTATCTGATCCATAAAAATCTAAATATTTGACTAATGAAAAATGGCATATTGCATGGAGTATGAAATACTAAGGACACTGGTGTCTTTAAAATTCCTTTTCTTCTCAAGGCTTGGGGTAGGTCTGCGTTGTACACATGGCATTGAGCTTCTCAGCAGTTAGGGCACTCACTGCCAGGTGGGAGATAAAGTTGCTCTGCCTGATGAGTTTCAAACCTACTTGCCTTCCAGATGAGAACTGTAATTGTTAGGTGCTATCAGGTAATGTAACTCAGAAACCATTCTATGTTTATACTAACTTCAAATGTGGTATAATGTTTTAAAATTGTTTCTTTTTTTCAGTCAACATTATTACAGCACTGTTGTAATGCAAAGCTATACAAACTTGCATTAAATCTCCCTTTCTTTTCAGCTCGGTGATTTAAAGAAGCTTTCACACATAGATTTGTGCATGAATCAGTTTACTACCATCCCTTCAGCTCTCCTCAACATGCCCAATCTAGAATGGTTAGATATGGGGGGAAATAAACTCCGGGAGCTTCCTGATGCAATTGACAGGTAAATAGAGCTCAAAGCTCGCATCTTAGTCTCAATTCCCTGGCATTGAAATTCTAATTATTAAATCCTACTTCAAAAGATTATTTCAATGTTAACCTCACTGGAAACTTAAGATTTATCAGCCCTAATGTGATATTTTGGATGAGCTGGCATAATCCATTCAATAAACAATAAATTCAGTGTCAGCTATCATATGAAATATTTCTTGCCAATGACATTTTCGACCAGAGGTTAGGTGATTATCTTGGATATGGGGTTTCCTTTGAGAATTGTTGTATTCTTTATTAGAGTACTTTATGTGCCTGTAAAAATGAATCAATTACTTTATATTAATGATTGATAAGATTAATTTTCTAAATCTTGTTTGATTGTGCAAATACCTATTTTACAGAATGGAGAATCTCCACACTTTATGGCTCCAAAGGAATGAGATAAACTCTTTGCCAGAAACCATTGGTAATATGAAAAATCTTAGTACTCTTGTTCTTAGCAACAACAAACTTAAGGATATTCCAGCTTGTATGAAGGGCATGACAAATCTGAGGTAAGAAAAAGCAAAAGAAATATAAATAAAAATACTAGAAGATAGGTTTTAAAGCCTCCCTTGAGTTGTATATCGTAAAGCGATACTAAGGAAGTGGAGAAGAAAAGGCATGTCCACGGTTGTACAGATGGACACAATACCATATAGATCAGCATTAATTACATAGATCACAACAGTTGAGGATCTAGTCAAGAAAGCTTTGTTTAGAAGAACTCATTTAAGTAAGTAAGCTATGATATTTACAGTCCCAAATAAAAAAGGAGACTGTAATACGTTTTCTCATTTCTGAAAGGTCCAAACGCCCTCTTCTAGTTGGCCTTTTATGTCACTCCCTAAAGCCATAAGCTAGGAGGAAAAATGTGTGACAAGCATAAAAATGACAAAAAGTAGAACTTTGGCACTGCGAAGTCAAGCATTCAGAATTAAACAAAAAGGATTAGGTATGAGGATATGGATTAAACTCTCCTGTACTTTATTTGAAAAATAAACAAGAATGAATGTAAATTTTTAATTGGTAGAATTGTTTGCATTTCCATTTGAATTACTGATGCTGGCCATTTTAGAGAAGGAATGCTAGTCTAAGTAAATCACGTCTAACCTAGCGAGATGATTCCTTTTTCAGATGTTTTGGAAGCAGCAGCACCTCTTTAAACAAATAGACACAAGCAAAGGCCCAGGGATGAACCAAGAACAGAGGGAGATAGGAGTGGCTATTGCCTTGCAAAGCTGGGAGGATGCAGGCATTTGCAGTCTTGTTCTCATCTACTCGTAAGGCTGACAATAGGGTGAAAACCTGAAGACGAAATCATGAGGACTGCAATGTTTTCTCCTACCACAATCAGCTACTGTTATTACAAGGAGCCTTCGTAGCTTAGTTTACTTAATACTACTAAGATCGTGGTGAGTTTAGAATAAGAAGAGACTTAAGTTATTTTGCTCAAAATACTGTTTGAGGAATCTTAATTCAGTTTCAAAAGAGTTGTTCTCTCTGGACAAAACCTATTGCAAGTGTAACCTTTTCTGGTGAACTGTCAGATTTGTCAACTTCAGAGACAACCCACTGGAGTTAGAGGTAACACTCCCTCCATGCGAGAACACAGAAGAAGAGGAGCAACAGGAAATGTTTGGCATTGAATTCATGCACCTGTATATCCAGGAGTCACTGAAGAAAACAGGTATGGCTCTTTTATTAATCTAATCTCTCTGGAATACAGTGAGGAAGGGAAGGATGAACTGGATAAAAGAAAGCTAGGATACGTATACCAATGAAACATGAATAACCTTAATAATCAAGTAACATTTTCCAAAAATCTGTGGACAGATTTTTTACTGAGGGCAGGGGTGCTTTTATCAGGAGTTGGCACAGTAGGTCTTCACATGAACAGCATACATTCTAGTAGGAACATACTGGAACCATGGAGCATTGGAGTAGATGTGCCTGAGTTACCTCCAGCCTGGATTAACTGGAATTTGATGACTGTCTCTGGCATTTGGTATTTAATCAAGAGTTTACATAGTGTGGGTCTTCCAGTAATTTTATTTCATGAGGATCAACTTTCTCTATTTTTGGATGTTGTCCAGATGGATGTAAGGGAGAGATGCCTATGTTCCCAACATACATTTTTTAGCAATGTAGTATCAACATCTGATGAACAGGTGTTTCTCACAACTTGCTCCCCCTAACAGAAAATCCAGCTTAAGAAAAACAGCCCCACAATTTCATCTCATTTCTAAATCACTACGACAAATAAAAATGCTGTTAAGTAGTCTCAAAGGTAACAGCTTAAAGGTTGCAGTAACAGACCAAAATACCACTTCTGAACAGACATGCAGGTGGCAGCTGTTACTTGCCGAGAGAACTTCATTGCAGATATAAAATGTTCTCTCTGATCTTCATTCTGTATATTGTGAAGGCTTACAAAATGAATGACTGAAATGCTTTTGATTTAGAACGTAAAGCCAGCTTTTTTCTTATCAATATTTCATGAATGAATAATCAATCTAGCAAAAATATATCAAGATGACAGCTTACAAGTAAGTTTTCTTCCTTATCAGATTCCCCTAGCAGCACAGGCTGATGAAAAAACCTACGCCTACTTAAATAATTTAAGAAGAAATACAAAGCTATCCTGAACTTCAAAGTGAAAATAAAGTATGTTTATTTCTCTTATTTTAACTCATTGTTTTTCAGGAAATCTGGAAACTTGTACTGCTCGTCCTTCTCCTGTCATAAATGCTAATGAATAAAGAACGTAACTGTGAATGGAAGAAAATACAAAGTATACTTCTTCTTAGCAAAGAGGCATAGAACAGGTTTCAAATATCCTTAGGTATTTTATTTTTCCACTGATGAGAACTGGTTTGAATATTTCTAATTCCCATTGAAACTGGGAAATATAAGACCTTTTGCTGGGTACAGGAAAGACTAAACCAGGGTTTTTTGTAAGCAAGGAATTAGCTTTTTAAAAAATCCAGATACGTTTTCTAAGTTTTTTCCTACCAATTCTGAATCTATCTCCTGTCATGTAGTTGGCTCTGGTATCAAAGATGGACTTGGGACAGCTGTCAGCAGGACATTCTCCAAGGACACAGCAGACTCTGTATAATACTGTAGTGCAGCCTTGTATCCTCGTTGTTGTAAATATTCAATCCGTCCATGATCAATCAGCAGTTTACAGAGGCAACCTATCTTCTTTCGTTCTTCAACAGTAAGTATCCTAGTTTCATAAAAAGGAGGAAAAGAACGAACAATGTGTGAGAAGAATGGTTTTGTTAATTAACATTAGTAGTTAAGCTTAGAAAAACTTCTGAAATCACTGTAAAGTCATTTCAGTTCATGCAAGCATGACTGTTTATAAATGTTTAATGTTTTCAATGAGGGTGGTGAAACACTGGAACAGGTTGCCTGGAGAAGCTGTGGATGCTTCATCCCTGGAAGTGTTCAAGGCCAGGTTAGATGAGGCTTTGAGCAACCTGACCTAGGGGAAGGTGTCCCTGACTACAGCAGCAGGGTTGGAACTAGATGATATTTAAGGTCCCTTCCAACTCAAACCATTCTATGATTTTGAAACGTATGTCCATGAAAATTGTATTTTTAAAGTAGAATATTTATATAAATTTATTAATTAAAATGTTTTGTAAAATGAGTCATTTTGAGGACTCAAAACAATTCCATATACCACTATACATAATTTTGCTTTTCTGCAGGGGTCCATTTACTAGAAAAAAAAAAATTACATACCCTTGTAAAGTATCAGAACAACTCTCTGTCTTGCTTAATGTCTGCTCATGTTCTTCTGTGGTGTTAGTTTGATCTTCACTTGTAGAGGCTCTCGTTGTGGTTTCTCGCATGCCGCAAGTGGCCCAGCTACTCATTCTCTGAAAATAATGAAATTCTACTGGTCCAAGTCCTACTGATTTAAAGAACTCCCTGCCTACATAATGTGTCCAGTCACACTTGTGATGGCAACACAGTGCAATAACAATTCCTGCTACAGGCTTACAGTCTTCTTTGTTGCTTTCCTTATCAGCAGAATTGTTAGAAGCCACCTCTATCTTGTCAGTCCTAGGGCGTTTTGGTGCAGGCTCTGCATTTTCTCCATCACAACAAGTTGTATAACTTTCAACCAAGCATCGCAAAGCAAGATCTGGGAAAACACAGATAGACCCCCCCCAAAAAATAGAGATGAACACCATGCCATTATTTGTACAGGCTGTATCATGGTTGGGAAAGTACTTCTTACAAAGAAGAAGAAAAGTATACATCACAAACTAAGCCAAAAAGCAATTTTAAGGTTAATTAAAAATTACAAGCGTGCTTGGAAAACATGAAAACCCTAAATGCTAAATGAATATTATGAAACCTCTGGAGCTACTAAAGGCTTATCCTCTTGAATATTTGATATACACAAGTGAATCTGAAATACTTTGGTTAACAAACTGTCATACTGCAGGAGGATCTCCTCCCTGTAAAACATGCAAGTATTTGCTCTAAAAGTTTGATATCTAGGACATGATCTATTTAACATGTACTGCTTAACTGTGTCATCTTTGTAACAGTACCTGTATAGGTGTCATATCTGAGATGTCTTTCTCTACTTAGTAGACATGTAACATTAGAAAAAGTGCATTGGTTTAAAATTATTGGGACAGAAATACATTCTTCTCATTTGCTTGGAATACGTATTCAGACAGACAATATTAATTTAGAAAGAAAAGTATTTCAAAGTAGAGGCGATGGTGTTAAAAAAAAACCACCACGAACTTACTTACTTCAGCAACTTACAAATACATGACCCATGCCACCACACACTGCTCTTTGTTCTACTCTACAAAAAGCAAGAAAGGTTTTACTTCTGTCTAAAGTAGCCTTGCATCAATTATCCATTTACTATTCCACTGAAGTCAACAGATACTTCATCTGCCACATTCACCAACGAAGGCTTAGAGGGCAAGAAAAGCTTAAAAGAACAGTTTGGAAGATCAGTTCAGTTAGATTTTAAGATTTGGTATCCCAACTTTCTGCACTTAACACATACATAATTCATACCTGTTGCAGCACCACACAAGTGCTTCCCAATTCCTACCACTGGCAGTTTTTTCTTCTCCAAAATAGGTACCTTATCTGGAGAGGGAAAAAAAAAAAAAAAAGAGAAAAGAAACACACGCACAATCCACAACACCCCCAGAACTTCTATTATTCTAGTTAGGGCAATACTTTTTCTGGATAATATAACTTCAGCACACATAAACAAAAGAAATAACAGTTTACCACTACTAAAAATACAGTTGTCTGTACATACAGTTATAAGCTATTCAAAGGAAAGTTTCTTTTTCTAAAATAAATTAAGAGAATCGGATGCTGTGGCTGAGAAGCATACTTAACCATTTCAGACTTTCTATAATGCCTGTGAAATGTAAATAGGACATTAATGCATCTCCTGATGTCAAGCGTTCCCACAAATTCTATAGTACTGATATGCATAGCATAGCAATGATATGCATGACTTGCTTCATTCTGCACACCTAAAACCAAACAATGCAAAGGTGTCTACTCCTGCAAATTCTAAAAATCCTTCAAAATGTTTTTCTTTTGGTATTTCTCACCTATAATGATGTCCCGTAAGTGTATAAAAAGCAGAAAATTATCTCCATTTAACACATATATGCGTGTACATGTATATACACAGAGCATTAATGTGTTCAAGCAACCACTGAGAATAATCTTCAAAACCAAGTACATTTAAGCATGCTACATACAAATTGACTTGAACTCCAGTATTCAAAATCTAAAAGGAAGCCTCTATTTCAGAAGTACAAAAGCCAAGAAGGAACTTACTTAAACATAAATGCTGAATATCAACTTGAAGCCTTTCAAACATAGAATCTCTCCTTTTGTGTTTTCCATCCACCTGTGTAAACAGAACAAGATCATCAAGTAGGGCTGGCAGCTAACAATTATAATTTTGCTCCAGGTATTAATGCTGGACTTTTTTCCTGTCAAGTCAACATCTGCACATTTCCAACATTATACACCAGGATTTTTTTTTATTAAGTTTGCTATGGGCAAAGTATGGATGCTTCCAAAACTTTCAAAATTTAAAAGATTTATGTTATTTTTTAAGATAATAAGCAAATACTAACAGCTTTAATGACAACAGTTTAAAAATTATACTCTGCTCATGTGACAATATCCTCTCTTACCTTGAATCTTGTTGTTGCCCTTTCCACAAGCAAAAACTGAACATTTTCAACATTCTGTAAGGCAACATCAACCCAATGAGATAGCTTTCCTCGCCCGGCTCCAAATTCAACAAAACATCTTCCTGGACCAAGTAAATGTAATTTTTCCATGTTACCTAAAATAGAAGCCTAAAAACATCAAAAGATTATTTACGAACCAAGTAAACATATATGCTGTGTATTGTAATGCCTGATAGGAAAACAATTACTTCACCAAACTGCAGAAGACTTCTCAAATCGTACCTTCCATGAGGGATTACGGAAAAGATCTTGTGTGTACAGAGGAAAGGGATTATAAACTCTGGCTAGTAAGCATCATCCTGCCCTTCTTCCACTGCTCAAACTCCACAGAAGTTTTTGGAATGGATTTTTGTAATCAGGTACATATTATAATATTCTTCTCTGCTGATTCTCGAAGTAGCTATCCAAAATACAGGTATCTTACTGGATTTCTGTGAAGCAGCAGTGTCTGCAGAGCCCTCTCTCTCTGCTAGTTAGGCATTTTGTAACACATAGGAAAGGAAGGTAGAGCAAGGGAAGAAAGTACAGCAAACAGACGTTTCTCACTTTTAAATTTTTGTTCCCAAAATTTTCTATGTTGCTACAGTATGCAGTCCATCTCCCTTAAAATTCCTCTGTTCAATATATATTGAAAAGGCAGAAAGTACACTCAGGCTTTCTAATTCTTTTATGCATCTGTTACAGAACCAGGAAATCTAGGAACAGCTCTTACAGAAAACATAAAAAATTCTTTTTACTTCTTAGAAAATACAACATTAAACCTTTTGTATCTCAGATTCATTATAAGTTAATATAAAATAAGAATATACAAGTAAAAATTCAGAACACCACCACACAATTTGTAATTTATTTCATTAACCTAATAAGCTTTTGTTACTAAACAAAGAAGCCATTCAAAGGTTATATATATACTATTATTTGAGAAGCACAGAGTTGTAGAGCATATCAGATTTCCTCTACATGAAGGGAATAGCATTATACACGCACAGTTGCTTGAATTTACAACGGCAGAAGCCCACATTTAAAAACATTTACAGCTATTAGTAAAGCAGTGACCATACCTGTTGTTTCAAGTGTTTGAAAGCAGATTCCCCATTCTTTGGGTCATTTAAAGCTTCTTGTAAAGCCTGGTGGGACAGTATTTGTTTCTTAAGGCAAAGTTCCAGACCTGCATGCAAATGCAAAACTTTTAGGTATAGGCTTCCAGTTTCCAAGAGTTTCTAGTTTTGTAATACACACGTTACAATATTCAGACATGAGTTCAATTTGTAGCACTAACAAAATAGTCTGTTGGGAGCATAAATCTATCATCCCATGTTTGTAAAAGAGCTGTATTGTTATCTGTAGTGATATCTGAGTGGGAAACAAAAAACACAAAAGGAAGGGAAAATAGCTATATGAACAAAAGATCATTCTCTTAATCTAGTTTATTCTTACGAGTAAAATTTAGCTATTGGAGGATTACCTATATCTTGATGATAATT